AGATTGATGACTGAATTATATGCCATCCTACAGCCTTCATCCAGCAGCTGGTGGAAGTAGAAACAGACACCCACAGATAAACACTGAGCTGAACTGGAATCCAGTTGCAGAGGAGGAGAGATGAGCAAAGGTGTCCAGACCAGGCTGGTGAAACCCACAGAAACAGCTGACCTGGAACAACGGGGAGCTCTTGGTCCCCAGATTGATAGCTGGGAAACCAGCATAGGACTGATCCAGACCCCAGGAACGTGGGTGTCAGTGAGGAGACCTAGGAAATCTATGGGGCCTCCTGTAGTAGATCAGTACTTATCCCTAGCATAAGTGTGGACTTTGGGAGCCCATTCCACATAGAGGGATACTCGCTTAGCTAAGACACACGGGGGTAGGCATAGGCACTATCCCAAAGGATATGTCAGACTCTGAAGACCCCCATGGAAGGCATCACCCTCCCTGGGGAGCAAAACGGGTATGTAATAGGTAGGGTTTTAGTTGAGGGAGTGGTAGGGAAGGAGGAGAGGGAGAGGGAACTGGGATTGACATGTAAAACAATCTTGTTTCTAATTCAAATAAAATAAAGAAAGAAAAATTGTTATTTACTTCCTGAGAATATTATAGAATTTTAATCCCAATGCTGAGGAGGTATAGGTATATCTCTGTGAGTTCAAAGGCAGCCTACTCTACATAGTGAGTCCCACAACAGCCAGAGCTATGCAGAGAGACACTGTCTCAAAAAATAGCTATATTCTATTTCACTTCTTTAGTACATCATATGACATCTGTATCCAATATCACAATTACAAAGTATAACCTTGAAGAGGATTCTATATCCAATCATAAATCAGTTGGCTACCCCCACAACATTCTTGTCCCTATTGTACCTAAGCAGATTTTGCTAGGTCAGTCATAATTGTGGCTCATGTGGCTCATAGCTTAGTAAGACTGTGAATGGCTTTTTTTACTTCATCAAACTGCATCTTCCAGTACTGTGAAAGCTAACCAGCAGGAAAAGAAGTTTCCTGAATGTTACCAGTATGATTTCTCCATGTCCATGACAAAAGTATGTAGTTTCTTTAGCAATTTCTCTCTTTGTTTATTTTATGTAATTGGTGTTATACCCAAATGTTTCTCTGTGTGCCATTTGCATGTCTGGGAATCTCTGAGGCCAGAAGACAATCAATCTTCAAGAACTGGATTTACAAATGGTTTCGAGCCATCATTTGGTTGCTGAGAATCAAAGATGGATAATCAAAGATGAGAATCAAAGCATCCAGGGGTCTTAAATCCATGAGCCATCTTTCCAGCCCTAGCCATAGGGTTTTTTCATGAAGGGCTTGTCAGCAACCAAGATCAATGGCAATAGCCTTTATTATATAGTCTGCATTGTTTGGGGGAATCTCCAGGACACTTTAACTAAAAGCTCAAAGGAGGGAATCCCAAACTGGTACTAGGCTTTTTATCTGGCAACCTATGACTTCTGAGGAGAATATAGTGCTCTGTGTAAAGTAATGGCTATTAAACTCTTATACAAAAATATTAAATATTATATATGAAGATAATAGTATGATTCCATATTCTGTTTTCAAACATCTTTAGTGCTATCTCACCACCTCTTCCTCTGCCCTACTTTCCCACCCCTCTCCTCATTTGTGGTGTTTTAAGTAAGAAGGCCCACCCTAGGCTCATATATATGAATGTTTAGTCACTAAGGAGTGGAACTGTTTGAAAGGATTAGAAGGATTAGGAGGTATGGTCTTGTTAGAGGAATTGTGTTACTGGGAGTGGACTTTGAGGTTTCAAAAGTCCATGCCAGCCCCACCTCTCTTCTCTCTTTCTGTTACCCACAAATCATATTGTAGAACTCTCAGTTACTTCTCCAGCACCCTTTCTGCCTATGTGCTGCTATGATGATAATAGACTAAGCCTCTGAAACTGTAAGCAAGCTGCCAATTGAATGTTTTTTTATAAGAGTTTCTTTGGTCATTTTGTCTCTTCACACCAAAAGAATAGTGACTAAGACACCATTAAACTTCTCTCCCTAATTAAGGAAACAGTAATGGTGTACACCTGCTCTCAACTGTCCACCTAAAGCCTAGAAGCATGATGAATTGTGATCTCGATCTCATTTGTTTTCTGCACCCTCTACCCAGAATTCTCACATAGAGTCAGAAGGACCCTACACTGCCTCCATCCAATTATCTCATTCCATTCTTTCAGACTAAATTACAAAGAATTGTGACAATTGCTAATGTAAATAGTGGTGTCTCAATATGTCCCAGCTTTGTCTGCTTAAATCAGTACCTCTAGTCCAAAACCAAGTTTTGCCTAGAAAATCAAGTCTCTTGTTAAGGTCTCTCTAACAGAGACATGTTAGGAAATGTGGTGTTTTTAAGTAAGGATAATATTGGTATATTGTTTTATGCTGTTGAAAGGCTGGCTCTAGAGTTGGACATAGCTTCTCCCACCTCTAGACTCAAGCATGTTTGTTTAAAATTTCCTGTCCTGTGTTAGGCAAGCCACCTAATTTTGTTACTGTATGCCAGAATATCTCCTAGCTGAAATCCCTGTCCCCAGTTAAAACATATGGTTGGATTATACAACTAACATTCCTGGGGTGGGGGTGGGGGGATGGGCAGAAACCAACCTCAGAGGACTGGCCCAACACCAAGTTCCTATAATTGTTCAACTAACCACTTTGGCTGCCTCTGTTCAGATTAAATAATTCTTGTTTAATAAAATATTAAAGCTGAGCCTCCATGTACTTATACACAAAAAATGTACCTTGTGCTGGCAGTCAAACATTGTAATATGTGATACCTAGATGGTCCTGGTTTTAAAGACATGAAAGAATCACAGAGAATCACTTTAGCTTGACACTATATGAAAAGACTGAAGTTTCTAAAAGATCCCAGAAGCTAATTTAAAAAGAAAAATGCAGCTCAAGTGCAGTGAGTGAGCCCACCAATTTTAGAGATGCCAATGCCAAATCATGGCCATCAAAAATAGCAGCCACAATGAGATGGAGCCAGATGGAACCCTGGAGACAGGCTACATATGCTGCCAAGGCCAGAGCCAAAGTGACCTGGGCCCCTTAGAGGAACCCTTAGAGAAACCCCTTAGAGGATCATGAATAAAACCTACATATTGAATTGATTATACTGTTGAAGTTTGATCTTGCCTTGTCCAGATTATGGTTGTGCCCTCTTTCTTCTCTCTTGAGAGACACAACAGTCACACACACACACACACACACACACACACACACACACACAAAACCTTATCAGACCTTCAGACCTTAGCACAACTGACTCCATGATGAAAATACCATTCAGGTTGCAAAACTCAGCACACAGACAGCACCACCAGCCAAAACTAAAATAAGTTAAACAATTAGAGCCACAGCTATCAGAGGATGGGAGAGAGAGAGAACTGGGATTGGTATGTAAGATTGTTCTAATTTAAACTAAAAGTACGAAACACTAAATTCCCATCTTATGGTACAGCAAGACAGTGACCTAAGCAGTATAACAAGCAACCTAAAGAATGTCTCTCTTTGCCTAAAGTCTATTCAGACTAACAGAAACTGACTTAAAAATATGTCTATACATGGACATCCTCCCCCAGAAGGGGAAAGGAACAAGATCTCCTGAATAAACTGGGAGCATGGCAAAGGGAAGTAGGAGAAAGAGGAGGAGAGGAGAGGAGCAGGGAGGAGAACATGAGGGATCAGGAAGGTCGAGTTGGGGGAAGGTCAGAGAAGTGAGCAAGGAAAGAGATACCTTAATAGAGGGAACCGTAATGGGCTTAACAAAAAACCTGGCTTTAGGGAAATTCTCAGGAATCCACAAGGATGACCCCAGCTAAGAATCCAAGCAATAGTGGAGAGGCTACCTTAAATGCCCTTCCCCTAAAATGAGATTGATGACTACCTTAAATGCCATCATAGAGGCTTCATCCAGTAGCTGATGGAAGCAGAAGCAGAGATTCACAGCTAAGCACTGAGACAAAATCATGAAATCCAGTTGTAGAGAGGGAAGAGTGATGAGCAAAGGGATCAAGATCATATTGGGGAAACCCACAGAAACAGCTGACTTGAGCAAGTGGGAGCTCACAAACTCCAGACTGACAGCTGGGGAACCTGCATAAGACCAAACCAGGCCCCCTGAATGTGGGTGTCAATTGGTGGGCTTGGGCAGTCTATGGAGCCGCTGGCAATGGAACCAGTATTTATCCCTAGTACATAAACTGGCTTTTTGGAACCCATTCCCTGTGAAGGGATACTCTCTCAGCCTTTATACATGGGGGAGGGCCTAGGTACTGCCGCAAATGATATAACAGACTTTTGTTGTTGCCCATGGGAGGCCTGACCCTCTCTGAGGAGTGGATGAGGGTGGGATGGGGAGAGAGTGGAGGGATTGAGAGGATGGGAGAGAGAGAGAACTGGGATTGGTATGTAAGATTGTTCTAATTTAAACTAAAAGATAAAGAATATGTCTAAACTCCTTGTCTTTTCTAACTTTGTTAAGCTTTAACTATTTTGGTAAACTGAGTTATACAAGAAGCTGTGGCCAGGTAGTGGTGGCACACACCTTTAATCCCAGCACTGGGGAGGCAGAGGCAGGCAGATCTCTGTGAGCTCGAGACCAGCCTGGTCTACAAGAGCTAGTTCCAGGATAGCCTCCAAAGCCACAGGGAAACCCTGTCTTGAAAAAAACAAAACAAAAAACAAAAAAAAAGAAGAAGCTGTGATATTCTATAATGATAAACTATGGGAAAACAAAGTTTCCAGTCTCTATATGAACTGTATTTATGGCTTTATTTTTAATTTAATGCTAAAAGAGCTTCAATTCAAAAAATTATTTGTAGGTATACATGTAACTGTAATAATGAAAGAAGCTATCAATTTGAGGGAGAATTGGAGGGAGGTCTAGAGGAAGGAAAGGGTAGTGGGGTAAGTGACATAATTATTATTTTTACTAAATATGCAAAAAATGAAACAAGAATTGTTGACCAAAATGCTTTAATTCAGATGTCAATTATAAACAGTTGTGTACCAAATTTCTGCATTTCAACATGAATTGTTAATATTAGACACAATAGCAGGTTCTATGTTGGTTAAATATTGTAAATACACTAGCAATTGCTCTCTTAGAGCAGTGGATAGCGCTTCAGTTTCCGTCTGAATAAATAGTTTTACAAAAATACCCATACACTCTATACAAACAACATATATTTAACAAAATATAAATGGGATAATTGTTTAATATGAAAACTGCATATTATGATTTGAATATGAAATGTTACCCAAAGGCTTCTGTGTTGCATGTTTCATTCTCAGATTGTGGCAATACTTTAGAGGTGATATAAACTTCGGGAAAGGCTTTTTTCTTTTTTCTTTCTTTTTAATATATGTCACTGTTAGATATCTTTAAAGAATAAACCTGATATCCAGCCACATCTTTGCTGTTTCCTATCTAGAGGTTAGAAAGCACTTCTAACCATGATCTACATGGTCAGAGGGTCAAGTAACTATTGACTATATGAAATTAGGATCTAAATAAATATGTACATCCTTAGTTGGTTCTGTCAGATAATTGCCCAGAGTAATACCAAGTTAACTAATACGACCAAAGTACTTTAATACTGTGTAAGTCTGAAATTGCAATCAAAACCATATACATAAAAAGGCATGCACCCTACTTCTTAAGTAGTCTCCTACTGTATTTGTTACATATGTAACAAATTCTCTCTACTTATGCTGAGTACCCTCAATTCAGATTTCTAAAACAAAATATATAATATAGGACATACTTATATTTGAGATGTATGTTCAAACCTGTTCACTAACTAGATTTGAGTATCAACTAATAAACTTTCATTTATGTCAACCACAAGTGCCCCAGGTTGGAGGCCAATTTACGATGACTGGGGATGGCCATCCTGCTGTACACAACTGAACACAATCTAAAATAATATTTTTAAATAATTTATTATTTCCAATTAACACCCAAGTTACATAAACAGAACTATGTTTACATTGTAGGATTTTAATAGAATCCAAATAAGGGTTATTTTATTACAAGCTCCCTCATTATGTTTCACATTCCTGACTTCTCTGTGATTATCAAAGTGTAGGTATCAGCTGCAGTGAACTTTGAACTTCACATTACCCTCATTTTTCTTGATCTTGACAGATTTAGCGTCCTTTCACCAAAGCATCAAATCTTTCATTTGCTCAAATGTTTTGTAACATGGTGAGGGGGCATATAGACCATATAGACAGCAGCCAGAAAAACTCCAAAAGTTTTCATTCTTAATTTTTTTAAGTCTTAAAATTTTATGCTAGGCACAGTAGCACATACATGTAATCTAAGCACTCACAAGGCAGGAAGAGCAGGGCTTTGATATCAGCCAGGGTGTTTGTGGCAAGACCTTCAATCCAAATCAAAAAGTTAGGGAGATTTCACTGAAAATAATCAAAGAAATGTCCTTGCTGAACTGGCTAAACTACCTCCAGAACTGCTTTTATTTTACAAAATTTGTTAAGTATAACAACAGGGGCAGGAAATAGCCCAGAGGGAGAATAAAGACCCTTGCTGTAAAGCCTGACAATCTGAGTTTTATAGTAAGGACCCACCAGATGGGAGGGAATTGACTTTGGAGAGTTTGTCCTCAGACATATGTGACATGCAATGCATACACAAATATAATAAAATTTTAAGGTGATAAAAGGTAAACTATGTGAAAGATGGATAACATTTCTAGTGGTCAAGCACTCTGCCACTGAGCTACATCCATAGCCCTCCTAACTGCTTAAATTCAAGTAGACTTGGCTGTTATGAGTGAAGTGATGCCCAGTAACAAGATTTCCACAGTTCCACACATTTCTACAAACTTACATGATTAGAACTCCTATAGCATATTCAAATGGAAGTGAAGTATGGCAACATTTCCCCCTAATTGTATTCTTGTTCTTTGTCACGTATAGGGTTTGTAACACCATTAGATTATCAAATTCTTGTATTTTTAATTGTTTTTTTTCCTAAGGTCTCATGTAATGCAGGCTGGGTTTCAACTCACTCTGTAGCCAAGATTAGACTGTAACTCCTGATCCTCCTTCCTTGACCTCTCAAGTATGGAGACAACAAGCATGCACCAACAGGCCAGCAATGAGTTCTAAATTCTATTCAGAATTTGGGGCAATTCTTGACTTTCATCGGTTTCACACCAATTTCTGATAGCATGTCACGAGAACCTCAAGAAAAACACTTTGTTTTGATTTGTTTTTTTAAGTCATGGTGTCATCCTCTGTTGCCTACAATCAAATGACCCTCCACCATAAACTATAAAGCAATCACTAATGTACCTAGCTAAATTACTTGTCAGTCAATTGTGAGTTCTTTGATTTAAAAAAAAAAGCATAAATCAAGACTTTTCTTAACTGTTTATTCATAAGGTTCAATCTCTCATGTAGGTATACCTATGTACAATAAGATCTGACTTGCAGGTAAATGTTTCCAAATGGTCTTTACATTCACAGGTTCTCAGACCTGTAAGAAGTGTTGGATGTTTAAGTAAAGTTTGTTTTATGATGCAAAGCTTTCTTGCATTCTTCATATTCACTGTACATTGTCTGATGTTGAGAAGTGTTACTCAGCAAAGATTTGTTGCATTGTTTGCATTCACAGGCTTTTTCCATAGTATGAATCTTCTGATGCCTTCTAAGGTTTGACTTGTCATAGAAAGATTTCCTACATTCCTTACATTCATAGGGTTTCTCACCTGTATGAGTTCTCTGATGTACAGTGAGGTGTGAAGTGCAGTAAAAAGCTTTCTCACATAATTGACATTCATAGGGTTTGTCACCTGTGTGAGTTCTCTGGTGTCGAGTCAGGCCTGACTTGCGGTAGAATGTCTTCATACATTGCTTGCATTCATAGGGTTTTTCACCAGTATGAGTTCTCCAATGATGACTGAAACTCGACTTACAGATAAATGACTTCCTGCATACTGTACATTCATAAGGTTTCTCACCTGTGTGAGTTCTCTGATGTACAGTTAAATAGGACTTGGTAGAAAAGGCTTTCCCACATTCTGTACACTCATAGGGCTTCTCACCTGTATGAATTCTCTGATGTAGAGTGAGTTGGGGCTTTTGGCAAAAAGCTTTCCCACATTCCTTACATTCATATGGCTTCTCACCTGTATGAATTCTCTGATGGTCAGTGAGCTCTGACTTACGATAGAAAGCTTTCCTGCATTCTAAACATATATATGGTCTCTCACCTGTATGAACTCTCTGATGCTGAGTGAGGTGTGACTTTTGGCAAAAAGCTTTCCTACATTCTGTACATTCATAGGGCTTCTCACCAGTGTGAGTACTATGATGTCTGTTGAAGCTCGTTTTCCAGTGAAAGCATTTTCCACATATTTTACATTGATAGGACTTTTTCCCTCTGTGGATTTTCTGATGGAGACTCACTTCTGACTGCTGAGAAAACTCATATTCCTCCTGGGCAAAGAGCTTTTCTTCTGCATGCTGTCCCTTATGTTTTGGAAGGTATGATTCAGTAATGAAAGGATTCTCAAAGTCATTACATTTGTAATGTTTCTGTCTAGAGTGTATTTGCTCATTTTCATCAAGGTCAGACTTGTTACACTTTATCTGTGATATATTACATTCAAAAGATTTCCCCCTTATCTGAGCCATCTCCTTGCCAATAAATGCTGTATCACCTAAAGATTTTGCATATTCACTGAATTTATGAGTCAGTAATACTTCTTTTGTATTGAAGGTACTCCCTGGTATAAGACTTTGAAAGTAACTTTGTGAACTTTGAGACTTGTACAAACTAACATGCTCTGGATGTCTGATGGATTTTATAGTTTCATTAAGATCATCAGGTTCAACTTCTAGCTCATCAGCATCACTGTGGAAACACACATTCTTCCACAGAAAAAGCTTTCTAGGACATATTCCTAGTGGGTTCTCATTCTTTATATTCTGATTTGAAACATGGTTTGCACTCACATTGAATGCCTTCCCTACTCCAGTCAACTTCTTTGATGTATCACTGTCAAGTGCAACTTGCCACACATGTCTTGCTTTGGTTTCTGGACAGATCTTGCTCAGGGTATTCATTCCCTGGAATTCTGAAATGACAAAAAAAAATTAATATGCAAAAACTGGACTATCTTTCTTCCTACTAGAAGGACAAATGCCCTCCCCCCCAAACTCCTATTATGCTTTAGTCATCTATTTGCTTTTTAATCATTTTTTTCAAAACTAGGAAAATATTATATAATTCACCAAAATAACATCCATTTTCCTTTATCTAACTCAATGTCATATGTGACTTCTATATTTAACATACATTAATAATATAAACTAATGTTTATATTATATATATTATGTACATATAATATATATAATAATATAATATGTATTATATTATATTATATTATATTTATTATAAACTAATAATATAAACTAATGTATTGTTGTTTTTACATATGTATACAACTGAATACTATTCACACACAAAGAGGTATCATTGTCTTGTTTCTAGATACACAATGTACTTCAATAATACTTATGTCTACCTTTCCCAGCCCAGACCTCTAAGTTCTTTTCCTCCTTCCAGACAATCCTCATTCTACTTTTTTTTTTTAGTTTACATCATTCTAGAAACTTAACCTCTATCTTTTTAACAAGCCACTGATCATTCAAAACTGTATTCAACCACATTATTTGTTTAGTTTATTTTCTCTGGAACACTCTGATGATTCTCTCATATTCCACCCATTAACTGCCAAAATGACTGTGATTGAATACTAGCCTTAAGCTAGTCATTTATTAATTTGTATCTGTTATTAATACTCATGACTATTATCATGTCTTGGTAATTAGGCATCTGCATATTATGTAACAAACTTGAAAAATGATTATCTCAATGTTAAATTACCTCAATAAAATAAATGCATAGCTACTTCCTTACAACTCAGTTTAATAGACTTTTCCTAAATTAACACTATGTATGTTCTTTCTCCAAGATCCATATACAGAATGGATTTATAGTAAATCTAAAAGCATATTTCAACAACAATAAAAACAGAGTCTTCTTTGGAGAGTGTATTACACAAATGTCTAATATATAAGATTAGCCATCTTTAGGACTGGGATGGGGGTAAATTTGGTGACCATATCTGATTAGTTCTCATTATTCTAATCCCTAACAAGTATGTACAGATGTACCTGGGATGCTCTGGTCTGAGGCTTCTCCTACAATCCATGACCCAAGTCTTTGCTCCAAATTAAAGATCAACTCAGGTTTGGTCTTGCAGTGCCCTGTAAATGGAAAATATTAAACTACTAAGTCAAGCAGAGAGAAAAAAAACAAAATATCTTCATTTGAAGAGACATCCAATGATGAAGCCAGTAAGTTAGAGAGTTTACATTCCATTCTTCACTCACCCAAGAACAACAAGTTGCTGTAGTTCTCCAGCATCACATCCCTGTAGAGGGTTCTCTGACCTTCATTCAGGTCCTGCCATTCCTGCCAGGTGAATTCCACAGCTATATCCTCAAATGACACCAACCCCTGTAATGACACATTTCTCCTCAGCCTGGGAGCTCATCCTTCTATGTGGATACCTGTCTTACGTAACACAAAACTTGATTTTGTATTCTTTATCATAGGATAAAGTAATATCTTACCTACACATGAATTTAATATAATTCAAGAAAATGTAATTATCCAGTTTCCCTTATAGATGCTGAACAATCCTTATTACTAGGAAGAACAGGATTAATAAAATTCTCAGGAAAGCACCTAATATAGTCCAAAGACACAAGTATAAACACATTGTTGATGTGTACAAAAAAAGTTAATGTTCTATGTACAACAGGATGATGAAGTAGAAAACATTTGCTACTTACATAAGACAGAACTCCTAAATGTTTACATGGATGTGTTCTCATGAATATGAAGCAACAGAAGTCCAGTTATGACAGCACAAAGGACACAAGACAGACTAACAGAACCACAAAGAATACCGTGTCTGAGTATTTTCATGTTGTGATGAGTGATAACACCAGTAAATGTTCAAATCATTAATTACCCAATAGTTTTGCATTTAAGTACTTCTAACAATTTAATGTCATGGGTTTGTTAGTAGTCCATTATATAAATAATTGTTCAGAGGCTGGAGAAATGGCTAAGCAGTTAAAAGCACTGTCTGTTCTTCCAGTGGACCCAAATTTGATTCCCAGCATCCAAATGGTGGGTCACAATCATCTAGAATACCAATTCAGAGGATGAAATGGTGTCCAAGGGCACAGGCAAAACATGCAGGAAAATATCCATATACCCAGATACATAAAATTCTTAAAAATTAAACCTGCTTTAAAAAATTAATAACTGCAGTTACAGCCATTCTTGCATTTTCTTACTAAATCAAAAAAAAACAAAAACAAAACAAAACTGCTAGGGTTCACATAAAAGTAACTGTATTACCCACTTCCTAAATCAAAGTTATTTTTAAAAAAGACTTGGGGTGATATAAATTATGTAAATTACATGAACCAAGATAACAGTTGACTGTCTACATTACTAACTCTGACCTTTGATTTATGGTTGATGGTTACAAGGAGAGGAGTTAATAAGGCCCCAACCATTCTCAAAGATTTATAGACAGCAGAGAAACATTCTCTTCAATGGTGTAACTGCTTAATTACCCATGCGACTATTAAGTAACTTTAACTAAGCTCACTGGTTCACCAGGACTTGAGTGGAATAGTTTCGTTCACCTGTCATTGGTGCTTTATCTACGTGAATGGGAATGTGATATCTTCCCAAGAAATATTCACACAACTAGAGGGTAAACTTTGTGCACTCCATGATAGGTACTGGAAAATCTAACAAAACACAAGAGAAAGCATCATCTTTGCAATATAACCAAAATCCCAAGAGAATTCCCTGGACATTATTCCAAATAGGAGGATTCATTAAACACACTACACAGTGACATAAGGGCTGGGGATGTAGGTCAGTGGTAGAGGGCTTTACTAGAACACAGAGCCCTGGTTTCAATACCCAGTAATGCCTAAATAAATAGCACAGCAAACTGTTTCAATTGCTTTCTATACTTTAATAAAACACTGACCAAAAGTAACTTTGAGAGAAAAGAATTTATTACATCTTTCAGGTAAGATAAGAGCCCACCATCAAGGGATGCCAACTCAAGAGCTCAAGCAGCTACCACAGAGGAATTCAGCTTACTGGCTCTCTCACTCGAGCTTACACAGCCCAGGCCCACCTGTCCATGATGGTACCATCCACAGGGAGCTGGGACCCCTACATCAATCAGCAACCAAGAAAACTCTTAACAGACATGATCACAGGTCAATCTAATGGAGGTAATTGTTCAATTAAAATTCCCTCTTCCCAGGTATGTCAAGCTACAAACAAGATTAGTCATCACAGAAAATTCTTCCCACAATAATATGTTCAGACAATAACAAAATATCAAATTAAAGGTACCTACTGTAGCAACAAAAATATAACAACTTCTCAGATAATAAAACAAATTGAGGTTATAAAAAAACCAACTACATTCATGAACATAAAATTACATATCACAAAAACATAATAAATGAATCAAGTCTATATCATAATATCATTAATTTTCCTTAGGTCAGTAAATTTTCTTCTTAGATGTGAAACAGTTGATTTCAATGTTGTTATAAAAAAAAAGTGTACACTGGAAAGATAGGTAGAAGGTAAAGATGCCCATTAGGAAATCTGATGACCTAGGTTCAATCCCATACAGAGGAAGGAGATCCAACTCTCAAAAGTTGTCCTCTGATCTCCACATACATGCCACAAAAAAAAAAAATCTTGAAAAATTATTATTAACATACAAATAGCAACAGAGTGGTGTAGGTTAAATTCTGTTCTTACAAATCTACTTCTTCCCCCTGTATTAGTTGCCATGGGTTGGATAAAAACTTATATAGAATGGATGAAAGACAAATTTTTTCACAGTTGTGTAAGTTAAGTCAATAGTCAAGGTTGCTAGAGGTTCAGTTCCTGATAAGATCTCCCTTACCGATATCCAAGTGAAAACCTAATGCAAGCACCTTTCCATGAAAAAAACAAATATAATTCTCCCTTCCTCTTTTAATTTTATTCTGGGGCTCAAATCATAGCTTTGAGCATGGTAGACAAATGCTCTCACAGTGTGCTAGCACCCAGACCTTGTTCCTCTTTTGGATAGGGAAGTTCAGCTGTATGGTGTTAGCACCCAATATATACTTCCTCATTTAATGCTAATTACCTCCTATAAGCCCTATCTTCAGATACAGTCCGAATGTGGATTTGGATATAAGCTTCAACAGAGAAATTCTTGGGAAAGAATAAACACTTCATCCATGCCTTTATCTGAGTGAAATACTGAAGAAACACAACATTCACATAAGCCAACTTGGAGCTTCCCTTTGCAGTCTGGGTTCCCTCTGCACTGTGAATGAAAGTGATGTACAGTCTTCTGAGAAGAAGCCAGAGGAGTCACATGCAAGGGGAAGTCAGAGGTGTCCCCCACAAGTTCACATTTTCCCTTTGACATGCGGAATGAGAATGTACCACACAGGGCAAAAAAAATTTTTTCCTCTGGAATTCTGAGTCAGAGAAGCAAACACTCTTATGCTCTTGATGGACAGATTAGTATGAGTAGGAAAGAAAAGTTTGCTTCAGATCTTTCTGGAAAATTATAATCATCATAACAAATACCACCAGGAATAACAAGTAGTATAAGAAAGCTGTTACACACTGTCTTAAATACTAACTAAAACTGAACAAATACTAAATATAAAAATGACATTTAACCCCTACCAGTGGTGTAACTTAAGCTACATTTTACTTATTTAGGATAACGACTAATATAAGTGTTGCTTAACATGTCATGTGCTTACCACAGGGACTTAAAACATAAACGACAACAGTGCATTTCAGGTACCATCCATTGCATTTGGCCAAAGTATACAGTTACGAATGGACAGTACACACATGCCAGTTTATAAGCAGTAAATGAAGCAAAGAACCAGTAGATATCTGAGGACATACAGTGCTAAAATCTAGACATGTTTCCATCTCATCTTTTATGCTTTAAAATAGGTTAAAAGTTGCCTACTCTAGTTCAGGCAGGAAACAAAAAGGGAAAAAAAATGCTCTGTGAGCTAGGAATATAGTTCATTTCCACAGCAGTCAGCTAGCATATATGAAATTCCAAGTTTAACACATTTTTTAATCCTATAATAAAAGTCAAGTAAGAAAGAAGATTAAAGTTGATTGAAAATGGGGACTTCTTGGGTCAGATGGAGGACTAGAAGCTGTCTACAGGTGACTCTAAGAACAAGATGATCAGGGTAACAAAAGACGGACTTTATTCTGAACAGAGGGGAAAAACACAGAGAAACACAAACGAGGAGAGTATAAGTTGAAATACAGTGAGAAAGACAAGGCAGTGAGAAACAGACGTGGCCAGTGACCTCAGCTCAAGCAACTCAGAGAGAAAAGGGGCCAAAGATGTATCTACAAGGTAAGCTAAGTAGTCTTGGGGAAAAGAGACTGGCAGTGGTTACCCACACAAGAAGTAGCCCATCAAGTCCACCATGGATGGGGCAGCACTCATAAGGCCCCATCATTCCTTAAGGAGTATGAAGGTTGAGTATTCCTTAGTGGTGTTACCACTGATTCAACTGTCCTTGCAGCCAATAATCCTCTACCCACTCTCATGCCAGCACCCCTACTTACATGCAGAGGGCCATTAAGACAATAAAATACAAAAAGAAGAGCAAGGCTTATTGAGAAGAAGTATTCAGGGAGGTGGTGATAAAAGAATAGTGGGGGATTGATCAAAGTATAATATATATATATATATATATATATATATATATATATATAATTGTGAAATAATTTTTAAAGTTGTGTCAATTATATTAAAAGTCAAACTCATGATAGTTTATAAAAAATGATATAATCATCTGAGAACAGAACACAATGCACCCTGTGCTCTGGTGGCCCAGCCTACTGCCCTACAACTGGTAGGGAACTAAAGGCACACAGAGAGCTCCAATAGGAGCTGAAGTCACCTTGCAGGAATGAGACATGCCACCTGGGTCCCAAGTAACAGCCCATCACCCACCCCACAGAAAGAGGCTACCTGGGGCCCCCAGA